GGAGCTATGTACCCAGTACGGGGGTGATGGGGAGGGGATGGAGTGGGGAGAGAGGCTCAGCATCTCCAGTCTTCTGGAAAAACCTTGGAGAAGGCCATTGTTCACCCCAGGAGTATGAGGGGTCGCTGGGGATGAAAGGACGACGGGTGGGGAGCAGAAGGGAATGGCAGACGGGGAGGTCTCGATGGCTGCGGAGGGACTGGTGGAAACCACGACCCCATTTTACTGGGATGTGATGGGCAAAACACAAACTCTCCCTCCAAATGACCTTTCTCTTTTGCCGTCTCTCTCCCTTGTTTGGTTTTTTTATTATTTTCCCCAGCCAGGGATTTCAGCTGCAGGGTATTAGTTAATCAGATTCTGAGAAGCAGATGTTAGGTGATTTAGGAGGAAAAACCGAGGCAACTTTCTTGTTCAAGCCCCCGCCAGAGCGAGCATTGCAAAGCTTTGGGAGTATGTTTTGTGGCTTCGGGCAGTGCCATTCATTTTAGTCTAAATTTAAAATGAGATGGATGGGGTGATCTGGGAGTTTGGGGACAGGTGGGGCACCTAGCTCTGGTGACGGGGACAGGCAGATGTCAGCACGTTCTGGGGCTTTGAAGGCGAGAAAAGGAAGGTCAGAGCCCTGCATCCCTTCAGGCTTCCCTGAGGGCTTGAAATGGAGCTATAAAGCAACTTTTCCTGGGAGGAAACAGGGAGGATGAGCACAACTTTCCGCTCTCAGCCATGACCATTATGTGCAAGTTGTCCCTTCACAGCTCTGTGCCTCAGTTTCCCCATGAGGGATGATGCTGGGGCAGGGGAGGGGGGAGCTCAGTTCCATGTGCACAGAGGCTCCAGAGCAAAGCCAGGTTTCACGATATCACCATTTCTTCTGTAACCAGAAGTCACGGGTTGAAGCTGTCCTACCAAGCAAGGGCTGGGGAATTTTCTTGCCCGCGGTGCCGGCGTGCAGTATTAAGAGTTAAGCACACTTAATGCGCAAAATACCGAGATCATCTCGCGGCGCTGACTTAGGATGCGATCTTACAGTCAGCTTTAGCTGCTCTAACTTTGCTCCGCTGTCGAGAGAGGGTCCCGGGCACGTGGTCCCCTGCGGGCTCTCCCAGCAGGACAGAGGTGTGATGGGGCGCGTGGTGGCTCAGGTCAGCTCCCAAGAACTCCAGATCATGCCAATCATGGTGGTGGTGGTGTCTGTAATGTCACACAATTCAAAATTTTTTTTTTTTTTTTTTTTTTTTCTGATTTAAAAATAGTCTCTGGTGGTTTGTATGAAGAAATAATAAGAAGACCAAAAGGGAAAGATATGTGCTGCTTTTTCTTTTTTCTTCAGTGCTGGTTTTTGCCTTGAAAGATCCAAAAGAGCTTTGTTTGGGTCAGGCTTATCACAGCATCCCTTTGCTACGTGGGCACTGAAGCGTGGGTTATCTGCAGCTCTCGTTCGCCGTATCCCTTGCAGAGTCTGTGTCACACTTTCTGCACCCCTCATTGCTCCGATGTGACACCTCACTCTGCCTGCAGTGGCTTTTTGACAGAGCCACCGAAACACTCAGCCTGAGCTGGACCTGGCCCCACGGAGAGCTGCTGTGCCCTGGGCATGCCTGAGCAGGAGAAGTGTCCGTCGCTGGGGCTGGAGGACTTGGGTTTGGAGTCACTGGGGCTCCTCAGCTTTGCAGCAGGTTGCTTTGGGGGGCAAAAATGTGCTACCACTTCATCCAGGCATCACTTCTGCTGCTTTTCCCCAAATACTCCTCTCTACGTGTCCCCAAGTGGGAAAATTAACACAAAACAAGCCAGAAGCTGCTTTATAGAGGTGGATGCTTACGAAAACCATGCCTCATGGCTTTTTTTATTTAAGCTTGAAGTGTGTTTGCCTTGGCTTATGATAAACTGTTGGATTTGTCCCCAAATACAGAATCTCATGATGCTGCCGAGGTTGAGCCCTTGTCTGGGACATGGATGTTGGCTCCTCTATGAAGTTTTGATTTTGGGGTTGTAATGCTGAGAGCAGAAGGGGAAGGATTTGCAGCAAGCCAGGATGTTAAGACCTACTGCAATGGATTTGGGTTTCTAGCTTGTCCTACCCAACTTCACCAGCAGTGCATCGGCATGGATGGATGAGTCTGCTTCTGGGGAACAGGGGAGGAAAAGCTTCAGAGCCCCACATGGCTTCAATTAAATAGGGGTGTTGAGGCATCAAGCGTAGCTCAGTCCCCAGGGACAGGATCCCTTCCCAGCACCTGGTTGCATGAAGAAAAGCCTATGTTGGAGAACATCCCCATCACAGGACTGGTCCCAGCGCTGCTGCTGCTCCATGCAGACGTGGCCTGAATTACGTTGCTATTCTTGGCAGTCCAGGGCATTCGGGTTTTTTCGCTGCTTCTCTCTGAACTTCGCTGGGTAGGAAAGCCAGCGTGCCCTTGGCCTTCGCGTGGAGCAGCTCTGCATGTCCTTCTGTGGTTGCTCATGACCGGAAGATATATCTGTGGGGGAAAGAGCTTTAGGGAAAATAAATCAGGGGGGGTGAATTTACTTGGAAAGTGCATTTTTGGGCAAATCTCCTCAGAACCATTTCCCATTAACCTCTTCTTTCTGTTCGTGCACCTCCCTGAGGCAGGACAGGTAATTTCCCAGCTTTGTAAATTGGCTGGGTCCCTGGGCTCCTCTTTGACTTTGCCTCTGAGTTCAGTATAACAGCAGTGGCTTGTTGGGGAGATGTGTGCCCAGGTGTATTCTGGGGACACGGTGTCCATTGCTGAGTTCCTGACAGGGCTGGTCTGGGAGAAAATCCACCCATGGCCTGAAAGATACTCTCCAACTGACGCGAGTGTTTAACCCTCATCATCTTCCTGTGGCTGGGAACATCAGGTCTACCACAAAAGAGGCCTAGGAGAGCTCTGGAGGACATCACCTTGCCCACTGCCCGCCCCAAAGTCTGGATCAAGACTAGGGGTCCCAGTTCGTACCCCTCTTCATGCACAGCAAAGGGGTTCTCCAAGGCTGGTGGACTTGTCCTTCTCCTCCTGACCTGCCTTCCTCCTGGGTTGCACTCCCTGGGTCCCACTGTGGCCCTCAGTTTGGGAATTGCTTTCTGAACGCTGGTTGACCCAGCTGCAACATGCCCAGGACCTCCTGGGATTTGACCCAATGGCTCTCCCAGCTGAAGCAAGGGCTGCTGCTAAGCAGGACACCCAAGTTTAATACCTCCAAATCCTGCTCCATACTCTGGACTTTCACCCAGAAGTGTCTGAAATGACCCCTTGCTCTGCAGAGATTGGATTGCTGGGGAAAGACTGGGTGGGACACCTGGGTTCTTTGCTACTGCCTGACCTCTTATCCTTGGGTGCTGTAAATGGTATTGGGAGCTTTAACAATGATAATGAAACCGTGCCAAAAGACTTGCAAGATCCAGAGATGAATGACTTGCTGGAAATGTAAGGCTTTTGCCAGTCAATGAAATTAATGTTTGCATCAAAAAAAATAGGGTTTTCTGACCTCAGGTTTGTTTTGTTCTTTTCAGTCGAGCCAAGCGATACATATGCACAGTTCAGCTCTCACTCCCTGTCCGTTCACTTGCAGATCCTCATAGCGTGGGAAAGACACAAGCTGCCGGCATCCAGTCCGGGGATTTATGCTGCTAATCTGATTAGTGTATGATGGACGTGTCCAGTTGGAAGGAGATGGAGGTGGCACTAGTCAGTTTTGACAACGCTGATCAGATCGTGGAGGATCCCTGTTATTCAAATGACCTCAGCCCCGCCAGCCAGTCACGGAAGGGCCATCCCAGCTGCGCCAACCTCCTCTCCAACTTGAGAATTCTCATCAACAGCGAAAACGCCAACAATGAGACGATTTTCTCCAGGTTCTCCGCTGAGTTTAGTGAGCATCTGGTGGGGGAGAGGGTGGGCATGGATGAGGGGGACCAACGAGTCATCATCAACATCGCTGGGCTGAGGTTTGAGACACGGCTCAAGACCCTCAACCAGTTCCCTGAGACCTTGCTTGGGGACCCAGAAAAGAGGATGCGTTACTTCGACTCCATGAGGAATGAATACTTCTTTGATAGGAACAGGCCCAGTTTTGATGGGATCTTGTACTATTACCAGTCCGGTGGGAAAATACGGCGCCCAGCCAACGTCCCCATCGACGTCTTTGCTGATGAAATCACCTTCTATGAGCTGGGTGATGAAGCCATGGACCAGTTTAGAGAGGATGAAGGGTTCATCAAGGACCCTGAGACCCTCTTACCAACCAATGATTTTCATCGGCAATTCTGGCTGCTCTTCGAGTACCCTGAGAGCTCCAGTGCGGCCAGGGGTGTAGCTTTGGTCTCCGTCCTGGTCATTGTCATCTCTATTATCATCTTCTGCATGGAGACCCTGCCGGAGTTCAGGGAGGAGAGGGAGTTTAAGTCCACCCAGGAGCTTTCTAAGAATCTGACAGACACCTTGCTAGCCCACAGCACCTTCACAGACCCTTTCTTTGTCATAGAGACAGCTTGCATCATCTGGTTCTCCTTTGAGCTGTTCGTCCGGTTCATCGTGTGCCCCAGCAAGACCGAGTTCTTCAGGAACATCATGAACATTATCGACATTGTGTCCATCATCCCCTACTTTGTGACGCTCACCACGGAGCTGATCCAGCAAAGCGAACTCAACGGGCAGCAGAACATGTCCTTGGCCATCCTGCGGATCATCCGGCTGGTCAGGGTCTTCCGTATCTTCAAGCTCTCCCGGCACTCCAAGGGGTTGCAGATCCTGGGGCAGACTCTCAAGGCCAGCATGCGGGAGCTGGGCCTGCTCATCTTCTTCCTCTTCATTGGTGTCATTCTCTTCTCCAGTGCTGTCTACTTTGCAGAAGTGGATGAGCCACAGTCCCATTTCTCCAGCATCCCTGACGGCTTCTGGTGGGCCGTGGTCACGATGACAACCGTTGGCTATGGAGATATGTGTCCCACCACTTTGGGTGGGAAGATCGTGGGGACCCTGTGCGCCATTGCAGGAGTGTTGACCATTGCGCTGCCTGTCCCTGTCATTGTCTCGAACTTCAACTATTTCTACCACAGGGAAACAGAGAACGAAGAGAAGCAAATTCTGCCCGGGGAGGTGGAGCGAATCCTCACCAGCGTGGTGACGGGGAACGGCAGCATGGAGTCGCTCAATAAGACCAATGGGGGTTACCCTCGAGACAAGGCGAAAAAATGATGGTCGAGGCCACGATGGGACTGGGCACTGTCAGGTGGGATTGGCTGGGTAAGGTACAAAACATCTGCACGCTATGATTTTTTTTTTTTTAAACCAAAATATGCTGCTGCTTTTTTTTTTTTTTAGAAATTTTTTAAATTTTTTTTTTTTAAACCAAATATGCTGCTGCTTTTTTTTTTTTCTAGACATTTTTTCAATCTATGATTTCCTGTGGCTGTTAAAATAAATACCATCTTTCTTATCTCTATGCCCTGCCCATCAGTCTGTTTTTTATTATTTGATGCTCATCTGCTTGACATTTATCTCCTCTGTCCGTGGCGTCAGAGCGGACTTCCCCCTATACAGAGGTTTCCCCCATTTATTGGAGGGACAAAAAAGGGCAAAATGACGTGAAATGCTTTGCTCAGTAGTATCCAGCTGTCCAGGGGTGAAGATGGGTCCAGCTCCCCGCTTTTCTTAATCCATTTTAAACGATTCCTCCCTACCCACCACTCAGGATCTGAGGGCCTGACTGCTTCCCAGAGCTGGGTTTAAGAAAAAAGCTGGCAAAAAAAAATTCAAGTTATATTTTTAGCTGGCTGAGTTCCCTGCTCTGCCTGCCCAATAAATTTTCTTGGCACAGCAGGGCGGGCAGTGGTGGATGGAACCAAGCCACCAGGTGAGGGGATTAGGAGGAGAGGGATGGTGACCAGTCACAGTGGCATGGCCACCGAAAAAGGTCCAGGGCATGGTGGCTCAACACCTACTGGGGTTTCTGGAGGTAAACTGAGCTCTGACAGAGGGAAGGGGGTTTCTCCTGCAACAAATGCTCTGCTCGGGCATTGTTTGGTGTTCAGATGCCCTTGGGGACGAGCCACCGTGACCTTGTAGCTTTTATTGTCCCTTCTGCTGCTGCAAATGGGGCACAGAGTGATGAGGGCTGACGTCTCCTGACAGCTCGGCTTCCCTGTGTGAAAAGGCTCTTCTGGCTTCCTAAATCATGCAAATTTCCCTCGGTGCTTTTGAGGGGAGAAACCAGCAACAGATCATTTTGCCGCTCTCTTGAATGCCAGCAGGTTTTCTTCCGACAGAAACATTTTGTTCCAGCTTCACTGTTTCTCTTGGCTTTTTTGGATGTTTCTGCCTGCGTTAAAACCACAGTTTCTCACGCAGTGTCTACACATCCGCTTTTATACCCCACATCTGTTACACTTGGTGTCTCGTCTCCAAAAGGCTCCACACGATCGTTACGCAACGTGCCAGCATCTCTGCCTTGCAATTTCATTCGGAAAGGAGCGGTAAAAGATGGATTTTTTTGTTGTTGTTGTTGTTGTTTATTCCTGATCTGATGGATGATGTGAGTCTGGGTGCGCTGGGATGTTCTCAGCGGCAGAAATCCCGCATCCTGCCAGCTCTGCTTCACAGCTTGTGCTGGCTTTGGTCTGAGGAGTTGTTATTTTGGTTTTGGGGTCTTTTTGTGGGCTGTCTTCCTGCAGTGAGGTCGTTTGCACCCCAGGGAGATGGATCTGGCTCATGACCAGCACAGCTCCTTCAGGAGAGGTTTTTCCCTCTGGCACAAATCCCCCTTTTTGCCTGCTCTCCCTGGTTTCTTCCCATCCCTCTCCCATCCTCTTCCTCACCCCATCCCTTGTAACTCCCAGACCATCATCCCTGACAGGAGCAGGAGCTGTGAGACATTTAATCTCCCACTGTGTTCAAGTTCTCATCATCTGTGGGGACAGCTGGAGAGCAGCACCCTGAGACATCCCCAGCTCTTCTCCATTCACCCATCAATTCTCTCCAGCACCTCTCCCATGTCACTATTTTTATTTCCCAGTAGGTTCTTTCTCATTTTCCTCTGGAAACCTTGAACTTTTTACATTCTTTTCTTTTTTTAGCACGCCCTCCCCCCAAACTTCACTCCCAGCCTGTCAAAGCTGAAGCACTTTCAGTGTTTATTCCTCAGAAAGTCACCATGAGAAACCCTGGTGAGGAGGTTTGGGCTGGGAAATATTCAGCCTATGTGCTCGCTGTGAGCGCATCTTCACGGCTCCTGCTCCCTTAGCACGCAGGGATCAAAATGGTGCTGGGATGGATGGATGGATGGATGGATGGATGGATGGATGGATGGATGGATGGTTGATTGTATGGAAGGATGAACAACCTGATTCTTATTAGCTTGTAAACTTTATTCTCAAATAAAATAATAAATGCTTCAAAGTCTAGCATGCAGAAAACATTGTTTATTTGGACTCAACTTTTTGTTCTTGGATTTGTGCTGCTCCACGGGAGCTGGTCCCCAGCTGGGAATCATGTGTGGGGGTGGAGGCATGTGACTTTATAGATCTCCAGGTCTGTGACCTGAGGACAAACTCTGCAGGGGTTTCCCCAGCACTTGGCGTACATCATCTGTTGCAGGAAGCTAGGTCGGAGGGGATTCCCTAATTTATGCTATGAGGACGGGGTCAGAGGCGTTTAGCCTCTGAGGAACAATAGCTGATTTCCAACTTAACCTAAAGGGAAGAGGAGGAAAAGCAGGCTATGAATACCCAATGTCAACACTCAGCTGGTGCTTGATAAAAACCTGCCAGAAAACCCATTTTCCCGTACAATTTGCAGCTTAGTACCTTCCCAAATATAAGCCCAAAGCTCAAAGCTCAATGAAATCCATAAAAGGCTCTTATTAACTGTACTATTCTTGAGTCAAGCCTTAATGAGCCAATCTGTCATGTCCTTTAGCATGCAGACTGAATTCCCACTTGAAATTTTGCACTGCCACAGAAAAAAAAGCTAAAAAGAAGACAAGAAACCTCTTTGCTGTATCAGGAAGGTGTCCTGGCTGCTTTTTGTCCCCGGACCAAGTTGGAACTTGTAGCCACATGTGAAATATTTGTCAGCTGGAAGCATCTTCCTCCTCCTTTGAGCTGAAATTTCCAAGCAAGCCCTGGAGCATCCTTTTACCACCAGGCAGACATCTCCGCGCTTCCCCGGTGGGCAGGAGGACAGTTTTGGCACCGCAGCCACGAGGTGGCACTCCAGGATAGACATTTCCCTGGATGTAGCCAGTCCCCACATGTGTCTACCCCTCTCTAATTCATGCTCGGGAGCTTGGAGCTGGTTTATTTTCTTATTGCATGTGTAAAGGCAGATGTGGGTAGGGATGCTTTGGCCATGGAGGATGCTCTCATGGAGGAAACCCGTTGCCAGGGACTCTCAGCATCGATGCAGAAGGAACACGCCAGGAGGGTTTAGAAGCTGTCTCCTGGCACAACATTTGGGCTGTTGGTCCTGCCCGGGACAAGGACATATCTTCCCTTTCCCATCCCACACACCGAAGCACAGCTACCACCCCTGGGTAATCCTGCCAGGCCTTGCCCATGCTGGCAGGGGGTGGTCTATGGGTTGCTGATCATTGGACCCATGGTTCCCTCTGTGTTGGGCTCATTTCTTGTTTCACAGAACAATGAGAAAATTCTGTGATAGAGCTGAGATAAAGTCCCATCCGCCCAAAATTGGGACTTGGGTCCCTCTTGTGCTTGGGCACGAGGGGTTCGCACTCGCTGGGGTTGAGGGACCCAGGGCTGGGTGAGCTTAGGGAGCTGGGAGGGGATAAATCACATTTCCACCATCCCACATCATATACTCCATTCTAGTCAGCTCAAAGAGAGGGCAACTTCTGCACAGTGAGAGGAGAGAAAAATTATTTTCTAATCCTGAATGCCTGGATCTCTCCTTCTGCATCCTTGTTCCCATCAGGTGAGCAATCTCTGGGCCCCGTCGGTGATGGAACCTCATTTATCAATAAATAATGGAAATAGCCCCTTATCCCTCAGCACAGAAGAAATGAAGAAGCAGCAGGGACTCTTGGCTCTCTCTCCCGGCCGCCTGCTGAGCTCTTTCACTGCAGCTGCTTGGGAGGAAAGAGGCAGCCTCCATTTTTCATAGGGTTTTATGTGGATGGAGGTAATTTCATTTTCAAAAATGGGAACTGCTGCTTTAAAGGAATGAAACAAAATTAGAGAAGGAATCGTCCTGACCGCTGTGAGGGAAAGTGATCATCAAATAAATATGTTAGGTCTTGGTGGGTTTTTTTGCACAGTAATAAAGACTGTAATTGAGGACCAGCTTGTGTTCCCAGGCTCTTGGTGACCATCTTGTAGCACAGACTGCTTCACTATTGGGAAAGGGGCATTTAGTTGAGATTCTTTACAGGGAAACAACAAAGTGTAACTGGATTGTTCTAAACTATGGAAACTGAAACAAGACATCACCTCTACACACACGCAGCTGTGGATTTGCTTCTGTAAAGCCTCATGATGGGAAGACATGCATTGGGTGAGAGCCATCTCCTGCCCTCCCCTCTTGGGTGGTCCAAGCTACAGCCTCCTGGAGGATTCACTGCCCTGAGATGTCTTTGGGTTATTGGGCACCATGTAGGGCACACGGGGACAAACCTTGAGCCCAGGGATGGGGAGCTACCAGGTGAGCCACTGGTGGGACATGACTGTGGGTCTGCAGGGATCCGCTCTGAGACGGGCTTTGTCTGAGATGGCGAATTCATCCTCCCCAGATGAAAATTTGGGTTTTCTGGAATCACTCACCTGATGCAGCGCCAGTAAAAGAGCAAATATTGACTTCCTAGGGACCCGCCCCTGAGCCCCTACAGGCTATGACGGCAGCTCCAAAAGTCTTTCGTCAAGACTGTGTTGACCAAATGGTCCTTAGCCACCACAAAGCAGCAAAGGTATGACAGCTTCCCAATTCTTACAATTTTATCACAGATAAATGTGCAGCCACCAACTCTGAACCATCAATGCTTTATTCATGTGTGAGGGAGAGATTCCTCGGGGATCTCTTGCTATGTCAAAAAACGTAGTTGTCGCCTGGTTGCATGGTGAAACCACAGCACCATTGGCATCATGGTGGATCTAAATAGCCTTGGCCAGTCCAATGCGGTTGTTGGCCCGGTCAAAGATGCTGTAGTACACCCTGATGAAGACATCTCCCAAGATCCAGAGGTCCCCAGACGTGTTCTGGAAGCTGCTCATGCAAGATCCTTGGTCGTTCTGCATTTGAGAAAGAAAAGGCAAATGGTAAAATGTGGGCTTGCGTTGCTCTGGAGGCCCATGGCCAATGATCCCCATCTCCCATGGGAATGGGAGAAGCCAAGGCAACCAGTGCCACTGGGGAAAGTAGAAGGACCTTGAGACAGGCTCCTGAAAGTAGGACCAGCTGGTCCTCCCTTACCTGTTCAGTGTAAGCCGAGG